CTCAGCCTTTCCTCATAGGAGAGATGTTCCAGTCCCCTCACCATCCTCATAGCCCTCCGCTGGACTCTCTCCAGTAGCTCCTCATGTTTCTTGAAGTGGGGAGCCCGGAACTGGACAGAGTACTCCAGATGGGGCCTCCCTAGGGCAGAGTAGAGGGGAAGAAGAGCCTCCCTCGACCTGCTGGCCACAGAGTTAGCTAAGTCTAAGTGTTAAAATCTCCAAGTGTTTTGCTTGGTAAGGTTAGAAAGGACCTGTTTCCCTCACACTTGGTTGCCTAAATCACCTACTAACTGACGTGAGGGGAGGGTGTTCAAAGAAATGGCGGGGGGGGGGGGTGTGTAAGTCATTTCACACTGTGTATTCTGTGTTAGATCACTGGGCATAAAAGAACCTGATCCTGGGTGCTCAGCTTGCTGGTTTTAGGCAGAGCTGATACAGTAACAACATCAAAAGATCCAGACCAGGCAGCAACTTCTAATAGCCTGAAAAAGGGAATTACCTGTCCGTACCATATTTGATTTATTCTGCCAGTTGGGCCACTCCTTGTTGTGGTACGCAAACATAGGCTTCCAAACATGACAATTTCAGCTTTAGTATTTTAATTTCTCTTCTAACTAGTTTGAACTTATTTTCTGAACCTCTCCAGTCTTCACAAGTAAAATGAACAACAATAAAAAATAATTAAATGGAACATTATATGTAATTAATGGGATGGAAAAGCAACAGGATCTGAAGAGAAACGCTGCCCTGCCCCGTGAGTGCCAGTAGTTTGTTTTATAGCACAGACCCTTGGAAGCGCACAGAGAGGGAAGCAGTGGCTTCTGCCTGTTGGCTACAAGTGTTTGATCTCTGTATAATTGCGTAAGGGAAGAGGCCGAGCACTCAAAAAATGAGTTTATGCAGATTCAGGATTACTCTTGAAAACCCACATGATATGCTCTCTTTTTTTTAAAAAAAAAGTACAGGCCAGCCCCTAAAGGATTTAAACTGACTACATCACAGAAGCAGGTAGGAGGATCTGCCCACAGTGACTGCAGTGTTAAGCTCTTTTCCTTTATCTGTTCCTTTCTTAGGCCCTGATACTCTTCCTTAGCTATGAGTTTTGAGTTCCTTTCTGAGGGAGAATGTGGCTTACAGGGCTTTTTTCTTCCTTAGAGTTTCCTTGGCAGAAAGCTTAGTGGAATTGTCTGCCATCAACACCTGCTTTCAAGCTTTCCTGATAAAATTAGATTTTGTATCTCAGCATCACATATGGCATCTTTAAAATTAGTCTTTTTGCAGTATATGAATGTCAGTTCCTAAAATGCTGCCTGCACTGTTCATGTAGGAATATTTCACTTCATTAAACAAATCCAAGCTTTTCACTGGAGCTTCTAATTGTTGAAAACCCACATTTTTGTGTGTCTAATCTCAGAACCATTTCGATGGACTGAAATACATCTTCACGGGAACCGAGCTGTGTGCAGATCACTTCTGGAAATGGGAGCCTGAGATGTCTTCATGGGTCTCCATATCTGGAGTCACTTGTGGAAATGCAGTCTTTGAATATGTAGCTACCTGAAAATGAAGGGTGGGCTTCTTCAGAGCACTCAGTACTGACCTAATCTTGGAAGCAGGGGTAGCTCTGTGCTTAGGAGCTTCTGAAAAATATTGCCATACGTAACATTTCACAACAAGACCACGCAGTTTTTAACACATGTGGTCAAGAGTAAGCAAACTTTCATTGAAACGTGAAGCTCAGAGGTGTTTTCAGACAAGCGACGGTCAGAATTACTGGTCAGAAAGATAGGGAAAGGTGTTCCCGTGCCAGTGATTCACAGATGATTGTTTTAAACTGTTGTAAAACGCATGGGAAGTCCTACACTAGTACAGGTACCAGTATAGGTGATAGGTGATGTTTTCATTACTCGTGTCACAGCTGAGAATTTTTATTCCACCTGGGTACGTTCATTTCTCTGCTTAGGTGAGGAAACGCACAAAGTAACAGATCATCACTATACCGCTAGCACTAATGTCATGGAAGTGGTAACATTTGCATGGAAAAGTCAGCATTTAGTACCTACACAGCAGGATGGAAAATGTGCAAACTGTCAACTTGTAATAGAAATGTCTTTAGTTTCTCAAGTGCAAAGTTAGTGCAACGTCAGCAACGCTATCCTCTAGGAAAAAAGAAGACAAACAGGAAAACATTTATGAACATAGCTCTTGACAGCTGTCATGCAAACTGCTGTCAAATTCGTACACTAATGCAGCGAATCATTCAGGCTCAGCTCGCTGGGCGTGCTCCTGCTCATATTGGTAAGACTGGCCATCAGGGATTTAACTTTGTAAGCATAGTAGTCCCTTAAGTTGACTGATGGAACTTCTTTCATGCCATCACCAAAATCACAGCTTCTCATGGCACTCTCTAACTGCTTCTGACGCTTATAAAAGTGGGAGAATTTGTTGAAGATCAGTGTAATGGGAAGCACTACCACTAGGATTCCGGCTAGGATGCATGCAGATGCCGTCAACTTGCCAGCAGTGCTCCCTGGGACAACATCCCCGTAGCCAACTGTGGTCATGCTAACAGTAGCCCACCACCAGCAAGCAGGGATGGTGGCTAACCCCTCATTGTCTTCTTTCTCAATGGTGTAAGCCACTACTGAGAAAATGGAGATGCCAACAGAGAGGTAAAGTAAAAGAAGCCCCACCTCTCTGTAGCTGTACTTCAGGGTGGCTCCAAGAGACCTGAGACCTGTGGAGTGTCTAGCAAGCTTTAAGATGCGAAAGATCCTCATGAGTCTCAGGACTTGTGCAACCCTGCCTAAATTTGCTAAAGTTGGACTGCTTTCTACCACTAAGTTGACAATTAAGGTAATATAAAATGGAAGGATAGACATTAGGTCAATCAAATTCAGGGCATGCTTGAAAAATTTTAAAAAGTCAGGAGCTACTGCAAATCTCGCCACCAGTTCAAAAGTGAACCATGCAATACCAAAGTGTTCCACGATTTCAAAGCGAGGATCTTCCTCAGGGTTCCCGCTGCTGTCAACAATCTGAAAGTCTGGCAGGCTGTTCAGGCACATGGTCACGATGGAGCCCAGCACCACCACTATTGAAAGAACACTGAAGATTCGGCTTAAGACCGAGTACCCAGGATTATCCAAAGCGAGCCAGAGCTGCCTCCGGATGTTTCCAAAGGGTTGTTTGTCAAATTTAGAGGCATCATTGTAGAATGCCAAAATCTCATCAAAAGAAGACGTGGTACTTTCCTGGTCACTTTGTTCCTCCCATTTCTCTTGGTCTGGCTCCATTTTCCTCCCATGGTAGCTGTAACTGCAGCAGGAGTCTATAAAGAATTCATTGATTCCCCAGTATTCAATCTCCTGGCTGAAAGAAAACACACAGAGTTCACCCATCACATGGAGCTTGCCGGTGTTATAAAAATGTAGCACGTAAGGAAAGAGCTCGGGGTTCCTGTCAAAATAAAATTCGTTCTTGGTGTCATCGTAGTCGTCGCAGAGCTCCAGTATCGACTCCTTTGAGTGGCAGCTCAGCAGTTTGCCCAGCCTGGTCTCAGGGAACCTTAGCAATGTGTTGGATCTCATCTTTTTCTTAAAGCCTCCAACATTGATGCTGATCTCATTGTCTTCAAAATTCGCTTCAGATAAAGCCTTCAGACTCTGCCCTGTCATAGTGAGCTGCTTCCAGCGGGGTGTAGGGTGTGAAAACCTGGGATGCAATCACACAGAACATCAGCAGAATGAGCATATCTACAGCATGTTCACTTATTGATGCTTTCTCTTTCTTTCTTTCTTTCTTTCTTTCTTTCTTTCTTTCTTTCTTTCTTTCTTTCTTTCTTTCTTTCTTTCTTTCTTTCTTTCTTTCTTTCTTTCTTTCTTTCTTTCTTTCCTTTATCTTTCTTTCTTTCCCTCTTCTCCCTTTTCTCCATTTTGTTCCTTTCCCCCTTTTCCCCCTGTTTCCCCCCTTTTCCCCCTTTCCTTCTCCCACCTCCCACTGAAAACACCGAGGGCGGCTCCTTTGTTCCCGCCGCGGGCTCCCGCCCCTCCCCGTACCCCCGTACCCCCGCACCCCCCACCTG